CTCGTGAGACATGTCACCCCCGCGGGCGCGTGGCGGCACGCTGTGCTGCGGGCATCCCGCGGTGCCCTTCGCCTGCCGGGCTGAGGGGCTTTCCCCGGCCCAGCGCTGCCCAGTCCGCGGGAGCTCTGTCTATAAGTGTAGAGGGAGAGGGGGAAGAGTAATAAAGGGCTGAAATGTGGTTTGTTTGTTTGTTTTTTTTTTCAATGGGTACGGTTATAGCTGGCTCTGCGCATCCCCCGCCAAACCGCTCTGCACAGTGCATCCCCTCGCTGCGGAGGTGGGGGCAGCGCTTGGCCGGACCTCCCGGCCAAAAAGCCAAAAAAAGATTAAAAAAACCCCAAACAAACAAAGGGTAAAAGGATTGGAGGAGGGAGAGTGATCTCTCTTCGGGGGGTGCTGCCGCACACGGACAGTCTTTCCGGCGTGCAGGAGGGGGAGCGGGATGGGGATCGATGCTTCAGCGTTTCTGCTTTGGGTTGCACAGGACGTTTATTGCGGGTTCATTGGCAAACCCGGGAGGGCAGAGTTAACTGTAGGAGGGCTGCTCACAGATTTTCTGCCGAAACGCTTCTTTTTTTTGGTAAAAAGTTATTCTGCTTGCAAAACCTATGTAAAATTGGAAATCCCAATACACTGTTCTAAATTTTTTTAGATGTATTTTTTTCCCCAGTAAGCTTAAGCTATACTGGAGGAAAAAAAACAAATATAAAACCTTAAAAATGGCGAGTTAGTGCAAAGGCTCATTCACTGTAATATTTTTATTTGTTTTAATGAATCTCCAAGATTGTGAAGAACTTGGATGAAACTTAGAAGCTCTTTACTTTCCTCCCGATGTTACACTGAGCCAAAGGAGCCACTCAAGGTCATTTCTTCCTGCAAATGCGTTGGCGCAAGGAGCAAACGGTCAATGGTGGGCGTTCTCACACCCTGCCGGGGGTGGGATGCTGCCTGTGACTCGGGGGTAGCTGTAAAATAATATTTGGTTTGTCTATAACATTTTAGGTCTCGGTCTTTATCTCAATTCCCTCTGAGCAGAAGCAGTCGTACTTTGTGTATGTGACTTTGCAGCTGAATAATATAACACTGATTTTACTGCAGCTGTAAAATAAGGTGGGTTTTGGTTTTTTGTGACGGACGTGCTGGATTCCCCGGGCACCCCCTGAGCTCCAGGGTGAGCGGTGGTGGTGTGTCGGTGCGGTTGGAGGAGGAGTTGGAGGGTCCCCTCCGGCGCCGCCGTGGTGGTTACAGCTCATGGCGCCCGGGCAGAGCCCACCCAGTCCTCACCTCGCTGCCCCATCGTCTTCTTCCCCCTCATCTGGAGTTCACACCGGTTTCTCTGGACTTTGCCGTGTCCCTCAAGTACCGCATTGTCTTTAACTCTCCTTTTTCATCACTATTCCATCTGTTAATGGAATTATATATACCATTAATATGTTAAGATGTACATTATATAGGATTTATTTTTTTTTTCCCAAATAATAGATCACCCTGCTTCGTCATCCTCTCCTGTGCATGAGTAGGGGGGTTTTTGGCTGGTTGGTTCAGACTAAGATTTCGGGGCAGGTAGCACTGCGTATTCCCTGGATCTTGCTTGGGAAGCATCCACGGGGGAGTGCCGTGCGAAGCCAAAACGCTTCGGATGGTGGCGGCGGTTGCTGAAGAGCCCAACAGAGGAGCCAGAGGGCAGAGTAGGGAGGATTCTACAACCATCCCTTGAAAGGGCTCCCCCAAACCGTTACCCTTCGCAACGACGCCTGGTGAATGCAACTCCTAATTGCATTGCGTTGGCTCTGACCCGCCACCGCCCGGAGCCGAGCTGGGCGCGGGGCTCTCGGTGTCCCCAGAGGGACAACGTCCCCCAGAAGTGGGCCAACCTTCTCCCCCCCGTGGCTATCCTGCGGGGCGGGATGTCGGATGGAAGCAGTTCCCTCCCCGGGGCCGCTCCTTGCCCTGCTTACGGGTGTTATTTGGTGCTTTCGCTCGTGTTTCTGTCTTTTTATTGAAAAGTAGACTTCTCTCTAAAGAAAGAACAAACAAAACCCCGCAGGCAGGATATTTATGCAGATGTGCTCTAGATGTTTCTTGGCTCTGCTGTCTCTCTCTCGAACCGCCTGCCGTACGCCGGGATGGGGTAGCGCAGGCAGGTGTGATAAATCTGAATTTTCACACGCAGAAATCTAAGCGCATTTCCCAGCCGAAACTTCGGGGCGGCGAAACCACGCGATTGTTTGTTTGGGATTAGATCGCCTTCAAATCCAGCCACTATTCAGGAGAAATTTTAAAAATAGAAACCAAATCCTAAGCGAGGCGCATAATCCGGTTTTGCTCTGTCTGCCGCCTTTTGCTTTCAGGCTTCCAACGCTCCCGCTCCCCCCCCAGCCCAGCGTTTTAGCGAGGGCAAGGGACTGGGTTTCTCTGGGAGCCACTGGTGTCACTGGTGGGAGCGCTGATAGTCTGGAGGTGACGGCTGTGCCGGTCCCTGTCTCACGGTGCATCACCCCCACCCTGATTACATATGGAGTATGGCGCGTCTGGGTAACGAGGAGATGGAGACAGAGTTAGAGGAAAAGTTAGAGGAATGATCACGCTTCTTCCTGTGAGCGGAATCGTGCTCCCATTAAAAAGAAAAAAAATCCCATTTCAAGTCAGTGGTATTGCTCAATATGGGGAGGTTGATGTCGGTTCGGAGTGTGGGGAATGATGGAAACGCATCTCAAGTAGTGATTTAATGTCGGGTTTTGGCTGCGTGTGATGAATACAACAGTTTGCAAAACTCCCTTGTAAAATCCAAACAGCAAATAATGGAAAAATTCTCTAATAAAAATAACGACTGGAAAGGGCTATAATGTTCTGTTCCTGTCTATTCATAACACGGGGAGGAGAAATAAAAAGTCGGAATGAAAGCCGGGGAGGGAGCGTTTGGGCAGAGCTGCGCTGATTACGCTGCTGCCTCCGGGGCAGGGCTGCGAAGCCGAGCTGGCAGCGGGGCAAACCAGCCGGGGCGCCCCATGCCAGGTTTCGGCTCTAGGTGTGATTTTTATGGCCATACGTAGCTGTTAAATCGCGGGTTATAGCGTCTTAGCGGGCAGCTCTAAGCAAAGCGGTAACAGCATCCCCTTCTCTGGGCTTCTGTTGTCCAAAGGGCAGTGACCCGAAACCGTCCCCGGAGAGCTGCGTGCCCAGCTGATTCGGGGCTGGGGTCGGTGGGCGTTAGTCGGCACTGGGAATCTCTCTCTTATGGGAAAAGTTGGTAATTAATCTACCCTGCTGCCACTTTCCGCAAGGAGTTCCTGGAGCACCCCTCGTGGGAGGGACTCTGGCGGTGGCTGTGAGCGCTCGCTCTGTCTCAACACGGATTTGGTGAGGTTTTGGGTATCCCGAGGGGAGATCCCGGGCAGGGACCCGCTCCGGGCAGGCTGGGTGGGTGCGGGGTGGCGTGTGAAGCCGGGTGAAGGGTGGGCTGCATGTGTGCCGGCTTCATCTTCTCCTCCTGGTGGGCGATGCTGCGGGTCAGCGGCAGAGCCATCCTTTGCATCCTTCCAGGGCTGCTGTGTTGGTGAGCTGCAACTGCAGTTAAGACGTGTGGTAGAAATACTCCATCCCCGCTCCGCGCGGCCAGCGCTGAGTTTCCATCCCTTTCCCGGCCGTGTCGCTGGACCGGGGTTTGCCTCATGGGAGGGATGGTGCAGAGCGCTGGCAGGGATGCGGGATGCCGTCGGGATGCCTCAGGGATGGCTGCCCCAATGCTGATGTCTCTCTCTGTCTCTCCCCTCGCTGCCTCTCCAGTCCCGCCAGACCCCGGAGGGTGAGTTCCTCCCGCTTGATCAGCTGGAGCTGGACGTGGGCTTCAGCACGGGGGCCGACCAGCTTTTCCTCGTGTCCCCGCTCACCATCTGCCACGTGATAGACGCCAAGAGCCCCTTCTACGACCTCTCCCAGCGCAGCATGCAAACGGAGCAGTTCGAGATTGTCGTCATCCTGGAGGGCATCGTGGAAACGACGGGTGAGTAGAGCAAGCAGATGCTCTGTGAGCACAGATGTCGCCCCGCAGGTCCTACCATCCCCGCTCGAAGAACCGGGCGATTCCCGTTGCCCTTTAAGCCGACGCCACGGTCAGATTTTGCAAACGCGTCGTGACGGCCCAAGTCGTATTTTTCCGACCAAGTGAAAACGTTGGAGGGGTTTTTGGCAATGCGTCTGTTACCAAGGCGATGCACAGCGGTGCTCCCGGCGATGCCGAGAAACCTGCACCGCGGTTGCCGCCGTGGCTCGGGCCGTGGGGCTGCGGTGCGGGGTGGGCAGTGCCGCGCTCCCCGCAGCATCCATCGCCCGGCGGCCATGCGGCCACCACGGACCGTGCCAGGGATGGATGCTCCCGGTGGCCCGGGAGGCTGGGGGCAGCAGGGGTGAATCGTCTGTGCTGTGTAAGACAATCTCCCTGATAATTCAAGGAAAACTCCCTGATAATTCAAGGAAACCTCCCTGGTATTCCAAGGAAAACTGCCTGCTGTTAGCATAGCTGGGTCATGTCAGGATTTCGGGGTTGACATGCAGACCACAGGACTCCAGGTTGGTTTTGGTTTTTTTTTTTCTGTTTTGTTTTGTGCGGTTTTTTGGTGTTTTTTTTTTTTTTTTTCTCCTCCCAGAACTGTTCTAAACCACAAATGATTGAAGAGAAGGAGCTTTGTAAATAACCCCTTAGAATTTTAAAACTAAGCACCGTGTTTGTACACTTCGGAGTTTGTTTTTGTAAATATTTCAGACTTAGGCATGATACACACAACAACAACAACAAAAAAGAAACAAAAAAAAAAAGAAAAAAGATGGTATTTTCTGGATCTGTAGAGCCTAACTCATAGAAGCTTGCAAATTTTGTGACCTAGTTTTATAAGATGAGACGAATATTGGGTAAAATAGAGCAAAATGTGCTCTATCTTGATAAAATATGGAGGGATGAAAGGATTATAAAGTTAAAAAAAGCTTTAAAAATGATAATAAATGAGAAAGGAGAGTGCAGAGCTGGAGGGCAGCTGGGTTGGAGGGGAACCAGTATCAGCAATGATGAGAACACGTAAATATGAAGATGGAGGTGCCGCAGGTGGTGGTGAGGAGGAAAAGGCCTTCTACATGGCACTGCCTTTGCACAAGCCCTGGGGGTTTGACTCGGAAGGGACTGGAAGGCCACAATAAGGTCTCTGCGGATCCTTTTCTTCCCCAGGCTGAACCCCCCCAACTCTCCCAGCCTGTCCTCCCAGCAGAGGGGCTCCAGCCCTCCCAGCATCAGATTCTTTATTACAGTTTCCACCTCCCCCATCACTCACCTTAAAGTCAAAACACGTTTGGCGAGACAGTGGTCTTGCTCTGGGAACGTACAGCAATCTGCATCCACAAACATGAGCAATTTGTGTTCACCAATGTACATTAAGTATCAAGAACAACGGGGAAGGTTTCACATGGGCTATGTGCCTCAACACCTCTGCTAAGGCAGCAGGGATTTAACTCGGAGGCAGTTTTCTGAGAAGTTGAGGCTCCCTTCCAGTGCCTACAGGGGCTCCAGGAGAGCTGGAGCGGGACTTTTTACGAGGGCATGGAGTGATAGGACGAGGGGGAATGGCTTCACACTGGAAGAGGGGAGATTTAGATGAGATATTGTGAAGAAATTCTCTCATGTTTGGGTGGTGATCCCCTGGGGCAGGTTGCCCTGAGAAGCTGTGGCTGCCCCATCCCTGGAGGAGTTCAAGGCCAGGTTGGACGGGGCTTGGAGCAACCTGGGCTGGTGGGGGGTGTCCCTGCCCAGGGCAGGGGGTGGGACTGGATGGTGTTTCAGGTCCCTTCCAACCCAAACCATTCTGTGGTTGCATGTGTGTGACCACGGGAGCTGGGCTGGTGCAAGGTCAGGAGACACCGACCTCATCCCCGATAGTACACGTTGTGCAAAATGCGTTTCTGCTCTTTGTGGAGACAGTATGTTGCAGAAATCTTCCGTCTAAGCTATCTTAACTTGGGTCTTGCGTCTAACAGCCCACAGCCATCCCAGAACAGAAGCAATCATTTGAAGGGGATTATTAGAAATATAATAAAACAGTTTGCAGCTTGCTCTGTTGGCTGTTTTTAGATCACGCCGGTAGGAGCCCTGGTCTGTGCTCTCTTCCTCCCAGGTGTACCGCAGTTACCTGCCCTCGCTGCGGCGCGTACGTGATGCCCGAAGTGCAACACAAGTCTGAAATGTCTACTGGCATGGAAAAAACAGAAATAACTTGCAGTTGTTTGGAAATCAGGGTGCTATTTTTGGTTAGGTGTAAAAGTGACGCTTGGTTTTGGTTTTTTTTTTTCTTGGAAAGTGAGTGAGTAGGTCACACATTTGGAAAGGCTTTTCCAATTAATTTGGATTGCGTGTGGCTGGAGAGAGCGTGGTGGTGGCACTGGTGGGTCTCCCAGGGGCTGAGCGAGCCGGGTTGACCCGCGTGTCGTTCGGGAGAGACCTGCGGGCGATGACTATGTAGCTGGTGGGAAGTAGGTTGGAGGAAGATTAAATACACTCTGGTTGATTTGCAGATGAGCTGCCAGTGTCTGAAGTTCGGACTGATGTGAAGGGAAGGGGAGAGGGCTGTAGGGTTTCTCTGCGTGCCTGCTCCAGTCGAGCCCAGCAGGACCACAGAAGAGAAGACTGAGGGGGGATCTTATCAACGCTGATCAATCCTTCAAGGGAGGGTGCCGGGGGGATGGGAACAGTCTGTTTCCAGTGGTGCCCAGTGACAGGACAAGAGGGAACGGGCACAAACGTGACCATCGGCAGATCCATCTCCACCTGAGGAGGGCCTTCTCTGCTGTGAGGGCGGCAGAGCAGTGGCACAGGCTGCCCAGAGAGGTGGGGGAGTCTCCCCCTCTGGAGCCATCCCAAACCCGCCTGGACGCCGTCCTGTGTCACTGCTGGAGGTGCCCCTGCTCTGGCGGGGGTTGGGATGGGGGAGCTCCAGAGGGCCCTTCCAACCCCCACCAGTCTGGGGTTCTGTGACCAGAGACGTCAGAGCCAAGGCGGAGCTGAGGTAGGGATGGGATGCCTTCTGTGATGCTCCTGCCTGCCTTTCAGCCCTTCTGGAGGTGTGGAGGGCCTCGCTGATGGCTTCTCTCTTAGACCTCAGCTGCGGTGTCTTGTATTTTGAGTTTGGAAGTACCGCGGTGTTGTGTTAATCCTACTGGGAGCGGTATTTAATTTAATTATGAGTGAAACCTGCGCAGGTAGGGCAGCAGCCTCCATGGAGCAGGTCTCTTCTACAGCTCTCTTCTTCTGATGGGTTTCTCTTGCATCCCAGGAGTAAAATAGATGTCTACTGCAGAGTGAAGAACTTTCAACCTATAAAGCTGCCTTTGTAGTGGTTATCCGTTGCCCTCCTGTCAATTACCGCATGAAAAGAATCGTCATCATTTTGTATTGTTAAATCAAATTGAGATTGAATTGGATTCTGAAACTCAGAAGACTGTAATTCAGTACTTGAACACTGTGAAAACGGACACATTTGTACAATGATGCAGCCCTGGCGTTTGGTTTCTTTCCAAGGGCGAGAGGTCCAAAAGCCAACCTGGAGCCGGGTGCCCTTTCCCGCGCTGCTGCCGTGACGGCTGCGTCCCTGCGCTGCCGCAGGCCGAGGCAGCGTTCCCCATGAGGGCATCTTCTGGGGACCCCTGCCTGGGGACCATCTCTTGAGCTGAAAATTGCACTCCAGCTCTAACGTTTCCCTATGACAACAGTTAATTTTGCCCGCATGTCTTCATCCCCGAGTGGGGAAACGCGTACTGAGCGGAGCAGTGGTTTTAGGAGAAGTTTCCCCCCAGCGCCAGACGTGCTGCTTGGCTTCTGTGCCTCCTCTCCTCTCCTCTCCTCTCCTCTCCTCTCCTCTCCTCTCCTCTCCTCTCCTCTCCTACAGTTAATTTTGCCCGCATGTCTTCATCCCCGAGTGGGGAAACGCGTACTGAGCGGAGCAGTGGTTTTAGGAGAAGTTTCCCCCCAGCGCCAGACGTGCTGCTTGGCTTCTGTGCCTCCTCTCCTCTCCTCTCCTCATCTCTCCTCTCCATCTCTCCTCTCCATCTCTCCTCTCCATCTCTCCTCTCCATCTCTCCTCTCCATCTCTCCTCTCCATCTCTCCTCTCCATCTCTCCTCTCCATCTCTCCTCTCCATCTCTCCTCTCCATCTCTCCTCTCCTCTCGTTCAGGGGATCTGATAAAATAACGCAGCTCCTCCACGGAGTCGTTGAACCACCTTATGATAGAGCTGATTTTCTGAAGCTGCTGTCTTGTTTTCTTTTGTTGTAAAATTGGCTTGAAGAGCATCAGTACTCTGGAGATAAACCGTTTTCTTACCCGCCCCACAAGTGGGGCGCATAGGACCAGCGCTGGTTGTTCCCCACTGCCACGTCCTTGCAGCGGGGCAGGAGGGTCCCACCCCACATCTTTGCTAACAGTAATTGGTAGTGTATTTAACGGAAAAGGCTTTGATATTCGTCAAAGTTCTTCATCTGGCAGAGTTGAAAGGGGGAGTTAGTGCTTTCAGCCTACACTCCCGGTTCGTTTTCTCAAGTCAATGATTTTCTGCGTCTGCCTGAAAAGCGCTGTGAAATTGCGCTCAGACCCACAGCATCCTCCGTAAGGCAGCGACTTACTCAGGCGCCTCTCCTGTGTCCTGTGGAGATCTGCTGGCCCCGACGTCAAGAATCAGACGGCAAGTGAATACTAATGATAAATAACAAAAATACTTATTTCATGGTATACTCTTAGCGCTTCTTTTCTTCTGTTTGTGCTGACATGAGAAAAGCAGCCTTTAGTCTGGGTCTGAAGGAGGCAGAAATTACCTGTAAAAAGTAATTGCAGACTTCTGCTTTGACAAAGGAAAACTGAGACAGAATTAACATCACTGGAAGTGACTTTAATTGGAAGTCACTGGAAGTCCACCCGGTGGGGTGGACTCGGGGCTCTTGCCGTGTTTTGGAACGCTTCAACCTTTGGCA